CTGGGATGGCGCTAAGCTAAGCTTTGCAGACAAGGGGGAAGAAATTAGATTGAATTGTGAACAGAAAAAAAACCTTAACTGCGTGTAGGACATTAGTGCATGGTTAGAACTAATTATATCTCATGTGAATCACCCTCCAGGCATGGCTCGGGATCTTTCTCTTTTGTTGCACTGCTAGCAAACGAGCGCTGCTGCTCTACTGGGAGTAATATGAGAGCTCGGCTAGCCTAGCGTGTAGCTCCCTCTTAGTTTCCCGTATCATGATTACAATAGCACTAACACTGATGAACATAAGTGAGTGTCATGGCTATGTGCCACACTGACGCCGTGCTGACTCTTGGGTAATATATGAGGGGGGCGACACTGTCAAGGAAATTGGTTTTCAGGCTGGGAACTCTCAAGGCCAGAGCAGCAGCAGCAGCAGCCCGGTAATGAAAGCAGAGGACGAATAGAGAGGAGAACTCTCCATCTCTCTCATGGTAAAACTGTCAGGGCCATGTTTCCACACACAGAGCACTCAACCTCCATAGTAGGAAGAGGAAAACAGGCACCTTATAAGCTGTACCAATATGGGGATAATATTAAAGCAAGACATGCTCGATTTAAAGGCCAATATGTTCAGGTTTATTTTTTATATTGCTGTGAACAACAACTTGTTCTTCTTAAAACAGTTTGCGTCACCTGAATTGAATGCATGTGTCATGGCTGGAGGAGTGTCTATGTACAAGAAAGAGGTGTTTTATTTGCAGTGATTACCTCGGTAAAGCTCTTGATTTATTATTGTTCTGCAAAATAATGAAAGTGTTGTGAATGTGTGCAACAGCTTGTAGTAGCATGTCCTGCTGATTGTACTTTTTTACAAGCCTTGCTGCTTCATTGCATGTGAGCAGGCGTTGGCAGAGATGTTCGCTGATGTCTTCTTGTCAGTGAGTCAATGTGCAAAGCTCTCCAAACGTTAAGTTGATCTGAAGATAATGACATGATGAGCAGACGTCATTAGAGTACAGGAGTTGAGGTAATGAAATTATAACAGAAGGTACAAGAGATAATAACTCATTAGTAATAACTTCATAAAAGCTCTGTGATGCTTTCTTCAAAGATTTGTAAACATGTTGCTAGCAGCTTCCTTTAAGATGTATTCTAAAATATTGTAAACTCTACCGCAAGAATATTAGGTAAACTTATACTCAGATTTTTTCTGGAAACATTTCTGCAAACAATTGACATCAATCTATAAATGATTCAATTAATATTAAAATATTGTTGGGTCTTTTATTTTCAGAAAATGATGACTAGATAACATCACAAAAAAAATTTTAGACCGAAAAAAATGCAATGAAAACAAGTTCATACTCATCTTTAAACTACACTATCCCAATGTGTTCACTTAGGAAGAGTTCAGAAAGTCATATTTGGAGGAACCACTCTGATTTTCAGATACAGCTTTCCTGTGTCTTGGCTTGTTCTCCAGCAGTCTTACACATGGCTGTTGGGCTATGCCAACTTTGAAACACAAATTCAAGCAGCATGCTTTGTTGGATGGCTTATCAGGTGATCACCAAATCAGTTCCTCATGAAGAACAATGAGGTGTACAGTACATGGGTTGACACTTGGAAAAAACACAGTACATAAATGTAGAATTTCTGATTAAAGGAAAATTTGGAGAATTTCTTTACCACCAAACATTCATTTCTGAACTCCTCCTTTTTTAAATCTATAGGAAAAAACAAACATATGATGGCATCGGAGAAAAGCATATTTTTGCAGTGGTCCCTTAATTTTTTTTTCAAGACTGTACATTAGAGGAATGGCTAATATGTGCCTTAGTGAAAATGTGTCATGTGACAGTGTGTCAGCTGGCAGAACTGAGTCACAGTCCCTGTCACAGTTTGTGTTAGAGGTCTAACTGACCTTTTTTTAAGTCTTTCAGAGAATATCACTCTACATATATATATATATATATTATATTTAAAATGTTACAGGAAGAAGAAGAACCCTTATTTTCAATGAAAGTATGCATGATAACTGTTTCTGTGGCATAGTCCTTTCAGCAGCATATCAGCCACCATGGTATGCAGCTTTCACATGTTCACAATAGAAATGTGCTTCAAGAGCCCTCATTGTATTGTGTGAATTTCGATTGATAATTTCAATGCCATCTTCCTAATCTTTCCAATTGTACCAAAACATTAACCACCCAGACTCTTCAGCTCTCCAAAAGACTTGACTTTGTTTTCCCATGACCTCTCTGTACCTCAGTCAGAACAGTGAGGGGATTTTCTTTGTAGACATTCAGGGTTAAATGCTGTGAGTGAAGAATAGAATTCAATATTGCAGTACTCTGTACCCCTCTCTTCTGCAGCCAATCAATGGCTACAAAGCGACAACCTTCAATTTCCTCCCTATTTTTATTTCCATAACCTCAAAAATACAGCAGCTCTCCGAGGTCGCCTTCCTTTGTGATCTGGGATGAACACAACGGTAGCTGTCAGCAGAGAGGCGGGATATGAGGCATGATGTTCCGTCTGAAGTCACACTCTTCCTTTCATGTCCAGGCAGAAGAACCAAAGAGCCTTCTCCTTCTTGTGTGTGTGTGTGTGTGTGTGTGTGTGTCTCGGCCGACAAAGAGCGAGAGTTTTAGTAGACGCCTCTCTAAATCCTCTGCCTTCACACAGGTCAGTCTTATTTATTATAAATTGAAGTTCTTTGCAAAACTCTTTGATATCGGAAAACAATTCAGAGCTGGCTGAGAGTCTGTGTCTGGGGGGACCAATAAAAAACCCTTTAAATGTGCTGGGAACGTCAAGTCAGCATGTGGTTCCTTATAAAAAAAAAAGGCTCAGATTACAGTTTTAGACACACTGAAAGACAACAGGTCATAAAACCATTCTGCCTCAATGTCATGTGTAGGAATGTGATCAGATAAGGAGTGAAACTTACTCTGAAATCAATGAACCTCTTTCTCCAAGAAGTTCACTTAGATCACATGACAATTAAACCCAAGCTGGCACCCTAAAGGATCCTGCAGTGTAACGCTTGAAGGTGCACTCCCTCCTTCACCTGAGCTCAAAGTGGCAGCTGTCAAGATTATCTTCATCCAGCGAGTCACGCACCCTGAAAATGGAGTCTTTGGCAGACGCCCACTTTGCCCTATCAGCGGCAGACTGAGGTATTAGGACACATTAGTCTCATTTCCAATCCACTGACTGGGCCAGATCAATTTCTTTCATTTCCATGCACAGATGGGATTAAATGGCCAGATTAAAGATGAACTCTGGCACTGTCCAACCAAGGTATTTATCATCCTTAAAATGAACTCAGACTCAGTGAGGCAGATATGACATGATTTCTCTCTTTCACCTCTATTCCACACAAGCTTATCTTCGACTAAATGAGATCCCTATATGCTAAGTCTACATGGAGAGATTTCTGCACTAATAGCTGTTTGCAGTTAAAATGTTGAAATGTGTTGGCAACACAGCTAAAAAGCACAGTGTGATGCCAATTATAACTGCATGATTTTGTTGGTTAATTAAAGTATTCCAAGCAAATAAAATCCAGAGCTGTCATGGTATAAAACACAGCGATGACACTCACAACAGCTTTGGCAGTTCATTTGGGCTTTTGTTCCCCAAGAAGCTGTGTGGGGTCCAGTTATTTACACCTTGGGAGGTATGTGTCCTGCAGGGATGACCCACTGAGAACACTTTTCCACCCCTCACATAAAGCCCAAATAATCCAAACCAAAACACATACGTAATCACAACTTCTCTCGCAGTATCCTGTGTGTGTGCTCATGAAGTTAGTCCTTCCCACATGTGAGGACCCCCAACCTATTCCTCTTCCTGTCAGAGGCCTGCGGAGATATTGACTGCTTGCACTGATTTACTTGGAGTATTCCAGTGCACTTCCTTTTCAACTCTTAAAACTCAGACTATTCTTATTCAGTTTGAAGAATTCATACTACAAAACAGATTTCTGCTTCAGACTGTAATTTACTCGTATTGTGTTTATTATCCTGGTTGGTATAATCCAACTCCCAAGCCCCATTTAGGTTGACTTGGTCACCTTAACTTGGTCTTGGTTGCCCAACAGGTCAAAATATGACACTTTAGATACTCCTCCATGTTGTGTCCAAGTAAGCTGCTTAGTATAGAGCGAACAGATGACTTAGAAAATACCACACTTTCACTGGGAGACTGGGGATCAAAAAGTTCCATTAATTCACATGAATTAGTTACGTCTTATATGTTCAATTAAAGGTGTCACAGTCTCTGGCCTGTTTGGTTGTGCCTTCTTTTCTCTTGTGTTGCAGGTACAGGTGAAAGGTGCCATCTTAGTCCTTTCAGCGAGACGCTCTGCATGAGCCTGGTCAGGTTTCTTTATCCTCCTTTTCCATCCAACACATGCACAATACACTTTCCACGCACCACATCCCATCCTTTTTGCAATTTGATTCATGTTTTTGTACATAAATGTTTCATCAAGTGTATTCTTGGTGTCTTTTTCTTCATTTGCCATTGCCCTCAAGGCAGTCATGACGAAGGTTACTTTATATACAAGCATTACTCATTCAAGCGCATGGTCTTTTCCATAAGGAAGCTTTATTTTAAGAATAGAACTGGATATTGTGTATCTATTGTAGCTACATTGACTGCTTCATTTTGGGTGCCTAACCTGAGGTTGTCTATCTCTGTCTAAACTCAGCATGTACCAAATTGACACTCCAGTGGTATCTTGATTGACATATTTTGAAGCTTAGGGCAAAAGACCAAACCTCCGTATTTAGAGGTTTAAACATGACCGTGTGTTGGATAGACAACATACTTTATACAGTATGAATGGGTAACAAACTGTATTCTGTGTCATTGCAAGAAGTTTGATATTTTATACCAATTAACCCAGGCTCATCTCATGTAGAATCAACTTGATATATTACCTCAGGTTATGTATGTATGCATACACAAACTAAGAATCATGGGAAATGAGGCAGCAGTACCTGTGTAGCCCAGAGAGTTGTCATCCTCGTGTTCGCTGGTAGGAGCTGTTGTTGCCCCTTCGCTGGCTCCTTCCTGTGCGACTCCAGTCTCTGTCAACAATAATACCACAGGGACTGAGAACCTGGACGCATTCTGTCCACTTTCCCTCCCACCCACGGTCGGAACCTGCAGCCCTCTGCCTCGCTGACACACGCATAGAGCAAACACACAAAGAAGTGCCGAGCTCCATCCTTTGAGGGTCTGTCCCTGAGTGCAGAATCCAAACTCCCACATTGCAACAACAATCCCGAGAGTTGTTTATAATCCGAGTGAGTCTGCTGGAAACAACATTAAGATCTCATAAACGTGTCAACCATTTGTTGGGTTAAAATCCATCAGAATGATGTTTCTAGCTTTTCTCACAGCAGGAGGTTGTTCTCTTGTCCTGTGTTGGGGCTGAATGTTTTGTGTGTGGGTGTTAAACAGAATTATCTCTCCCGTATCAATAGCCATAAGTGGCTGCACCCCTAAGGGAGCACATGGGCCGGACAGAGGAGGGAGTGGCCGGGGACACTGTGCATGATTGACACCGCCACTCTGCATGCACACGCACACGGTCCTGATGCAAATATAGTGATGCACCATTAATTGCTAATCAGCTCCTTTTGATTTGGGCCCATCTTTTTGTGCATGTCGTCTTTTGGAGTGACAGGTTGAGTGTGCGCGACAGGAGGTGTGAGGGCGGGACCGAATGGGGGGGGGGGGGGGGAGAGAGGCCAAGAGAGCTTGGTTGTGCATGGCTTATGGGGGGAGAAGGGAGGCCAACTGTGCCCTCATGATGGCTCTGTGTGGAATAAATCAGACCCAGTCGTGCTTGTTCTCTTTGTGGCCCTCTGACAGGGGGTTAATTTGCGCCGGGGAGGTAAGAGGAATCTTAATCAAAGGGCGTCCAACCCCTTTAAGCTAACTGAGCGGCAGTCTGTCGGAAGTATCCGTTTCCTCAATGGGATCTGGCATCACTTCTGATAAATAGCAGACGGGCAGACGGAATCGCTCATTGGTGGGTACTTTAGATCACTGGAGTGTGAAGACGAGGGCGACCACTCATTTGATCAACCCCTCCCACTCTTAAAGAACTGACAGAAAAAAATAAATGCAAGACTTTTCCACCCCAAAACACACTTTTCAACAGACTTCGACACAGAAATGACATTGAAAACATTGTGATCATTTCCCCCCTGCTGCCCGTGTATAGTGTTGCAATTTATGTGACAGTTGAAGGCCCTCATGCTAGGCACAACCTATCATCATGCACTTTTGTTTATCCAAACAGCAGCTTCAGACTGACAACTCAGAGGAGCAGGGAGTCTGAGTCATACACAAATAACCACGTAGGTTACTCTTTCATGCACATGAATGGAGCGGATGATACACATAACACACAAGATGAAAACATGCTTGACATGAAGAAACGAAACATCAAGCAGAGAGTGAAGTACTGTCTGACACTTACAGGCTGACACCAGGAAGATGTGGCTGTGTTATTTTGTGTTTTTAATCTGTTCAACCAGACAAATTAAACACAAAGGCAGCTTCTGCTTCACACACGGAAAGTATTGTGGCACTGGCGCTGACAATTTCAGGCTGGAACAAGTTTAAGAAAAAACAAAAAAATAAATCTTTTCCGAGAATGAGGAGGCGTCTGTGTTTGTTCTTGCAAAAAGTAAACATCGTTCAATCAAGAGCTATGCAAAAGGCAGATCAGATACAAAAGATGTGTGATCTCTTCCAGTATTTGATAGTTGGACTTCTTGGCTTGAAATAAACATGTCATTATAAACCCTACAAAGAGGGAATGAAGGTTCCTTCTTGGCTTTGAAAATACAAGTCCAATTTGTCCGTCTAATTAAAACCTTGTACATCCTAAAGTATACTTTAATAAAAAATAAAAAACTTAAGATTGTTAGTAAGCCTATGAAGTAGAAATATTTTCTTCAAGCATCAATATTCAACTTCTTCATTATCTGAAATACCTTAAATTGCCCTTTGGTGATCCATTATAATACTTGTACTGGAGCTTTTTAATTCACTAACTTACTATTGGCATTTCTCAGTGACAACTCTTTCAGCTACACTGATCAAAAGCAGATAGTGTGCTCTGTTGAGTGGATTTTGGCGACCCCTGTGGACAAAGCCTGTACATGCCCTCAAGTGTTCTAAAAAAAAAAAAAAAAAAAAGATCTGCTGGGTCTGAGCTTTCTAAAGTACTACACAATGTGAAGAGAAAAAAAGCTCTTTTGGTTTTGCAGTTTGCAAAAACGATGTTGTGTTCTGAACCAATGGCAGCCCTCAAGTCTCTTGTGTTCTTTCTGTCTGATTCCCTCGGGTGGTCTACAGTCCAATTAGAGACAACTTAACATTTAACGGGTGTCGCACCCAGCTCCCCCTTGGGTCTGAGGAAACAAAGTCAGGACCTCAATGTTGTCCCACTGGCCCCGATGTTACCCCCCAACACTGCACCCAGCCCAAGAATCCCTCTAGGCTAATTAATGGGTCACATGTGCAGATAACTGACTGCTTACTAAATTATGCAAAAGCCGGCCTGCCCCCTCTTTGGTCAGTCTTCCTGGGCCTCTGATAGAAGTCCTGCCCAGGAGTCCTCCTCAAAGACACAAGCTGGCTCCATTTCTTTACTGTAACTTACATTTGGATAGTGACGGCCAGTGACTACTAGAAGAAGCAGTTGAACAGCTTGCTACATTTCTCTGGGCTATATCTCCAGTGTAGTGAAGATTAACTTAATATTAAGCTGGTCGCTTAGTTTACTACATCTTAAAAGTAACTTGCATAGCACTGCCTTTTCAGGTCTACTTTAACTGGCAAAAACTTGAGTTCCAGTTTACAACTTTGTCACTGTGTTGACCCAATCAGCACTTAACTCCCTGTACACCCAGCTGACATGACAATAAACCTGATGTCTGACTGATCGCTCCTGTTGTCGAGCTTGTTTATTGTGACAAACGCTGGGAGCTCTTAATAGACGAGGATGCAGGAGCTGAAGCTGTTGTTTCATTGTTATCTTGTCAAGTATTGGCAGAAGCGCTCCAGCCCCGGCAGCCTGTAGAAGTGATGGATGGCCTTAAAATGATGAGAGGGGGAGTCAGGTACTAGGACTTGTTATCAGGACTGAATGATTGTTTGCTGTAGGACAAGTTCCTCCACACAGCCTGACATGCCTGTAGCGAAAACCTCGAGCAAATTCAATCATTAAATTGTTTTCTACCCTAACATCTGCTTACTTTTTGTCTGATGAAATAGAGAAATGTGAACAGGCAAGAAGAATGATAATTGTGCAGAAAAGCCAAGAGGTTTCCTTTCCTTGTTCCATTCATTATGGAGGTTGAACATTTACATCTGGTCTTTTCTTGTTAATATAATAACCTATAACACAATCATGAGAGTATCTTCATCATTTTGGACCCGCATATTCGGTATTCTTCACCATAACTGGCGGCACACAAAAGAACACAACCAGCACAGTCTTTCCAAAAAGTCATTCTCAGCAGAAGGCGGTCTGTGCGCTTCATCTGTTTCCACAGCTCCATTACACTAATTTACATTTTGATTACACTTTCTTTGTTTTCTGCATCACTAATGGAGTTTTAATCAGGCCTCCAGATAATACAGTCACAGTGAGCTCTCACTGCAGCAGAGGGAAAGAGAAGGACAAAGTCAGAGTGAAGGAGCAGGTTTTGTCTGAGACTTAACTATGAGCAAGAAGAAAATCTAGACTTACACATTTGAGATAAATGTCATATTATTTGATGGAAGATAAAAAATTATAATATTACAACTCAAGAAACCCTAGTGTTGATTTGAAAATAAAACACAATAATCCCCAAAAGACATCACACGACCCATAACTTTATATTTATGGGATGATTTCCAACTACTATGTCCTCACATAAGTCTTTTGAGGAATAGTTGACTTCTGGGAATAGAGAGAATTAGACGGTTTTAATTTGTAGCTGAAGTCAACAACCAATGAGCTTACAGTATCTTATTACAAAGACAGATTCAACATTTCAATGCTGAAATGTTTTGCAATGAATGCCCAACAAGACCTCAGGAGTGACATCTTTCAGACAGAGAGAGACCAGCAGATACCCAGATGAAAGACATACAGTATATATATATTTGTCTGACTTTATTAGCCTCACATGGAGCCATGCTAACCATAACCTCCTGCTTCTGGTCTTTATGATAAGCTAACTCACCTCTTACTGAATCTTATTGTTGACTACACATTAGAGATGAATCCATTTTTTTACGTTTATAACTGAAAATAAGTGAAATAATGAATTTCCAGATTAACTGTGATAACATATAATGAATAAGTATGAAAAAAGGTAACATATTTTAAACAATTACAAACACTGAGATAAGTCACAAGTTGTTGGATTTTTCAGAAAAAGAATAATGAGTTTGATAGCAATAGTTTGTAGACACAGAACCTGCTGGGTATGCAATTTGGAAATAACAAAAAAACAGTCTGAGTTGTGCTGCAGCTGTCGTGAGAAAGTGGAGTAGATGACACATACTTAATACACACGTGCACATTTGGCATGAGCTCTGCTGACCGACTGGTTTTTAACATTTCATCATGTATGAAGGTCTGCCACCACATCCACTGTAAAGTATATTAATAGCTAATTGATAGCTTTAACTCCAGGCTAGAGTCATAGCCCACCATACTATAAATCACTTAGGAGGGAAAACTGTGTTTATGATTATTACTCTATATGTTAAGGGTCACACTGCCAAGCCCTGCTCAGGCTGGCAATAAAACAGTCCTATTCATGTCCTCTTTTTAAGGATCTATATCTTGATTCGTAGAGAATTTATATACTTTGATTTATCTTTTGATAAACACATTACAACATAGAGACGGACCCTTTTTGTACACTATAATAAGGCCTTAGATTCTTGAAAACTATGGACATATTTGTAAATGAGTGGAAAAAAAACTAATGTTCGCTGCCTGATTTTGCAGATATTTTCCACACAACTCTTAAATGTCGATAACAGTCACAGTTTTTCTGCACGTTGC